GGTTTCACCATGTTGACCAGGCTGGTCTCAAACTCCTGACCTCAGATGATCCGCCCACCTTGGCATCCCATAGTGCTGGGATTACAGGCGTGAGCCACCACGCCTGGCTAGGGATAATAGTCTTTTATGTCCTTTATAAAACTGTGAGCAGTGCTATTGCTAAGAAGGATGATTTATACAAGGGACTCAGTTACTTAATTCAAACCATGTTCCCAGTAACTGGTACATTTCAGGTGGTTTTCTGTTGAGTTAGTCTTCTTTAAGGCTCTGGTTAGTTAGACTAACTTTTAAATTATTGTATCATTTTAAATGATTTTAACTTTTTTGGCATCTGATGAAGGCAGTTCAGTGTCATTAGTTTTAGTGTAAGAAAATAGACACTTCCTGGCCAGGCACGGTGGCTCACGCCTGTAATCCCAGCACTTTGGGAGGCTGAAGTGGGCGGATCATAAGGTCAGGAGATCGAGACCTTCCTGGCTAACACGGTGAAACCCCGTCTCTACTAAAAATACAAAAATTATCTGGGCATGGTGGCGGGCGCCTGTAGTCCCAGCTACTCGGGAGGCTGAGGCAGGAGAATTGCTGGAACCCAGGAGATGGAGGTTGCAGTGAGCTGAGATTGCACCACTGCACTGCAGCCTGAGCCACAAAGGGAGACACCGTCTTAAAAAAAAAAAAAAGTACCTATCACAAAATTAATGTTCGAGAGCTGAATGTGTTCCATTTTATTCTTCCAGAGACACTCATATACTGCATCCTTTCACTGTCTCTCTGAAAAAAATGTAAGTTATTGTGGGCAGTGTGTGGGTTATGAATAAGTAGCCACTTGTTTCGTCTTTCTTGTATCATAAAATCAGAAGTGTTGTCCCGATGGCTCACACATGTAATCCCAGCACTTCAGGAGAAGAAATGGTTAGGATTATGTGTTTGAACCGCCCGGCCAACAATTCTGAGGTGGGAGAATCGCTTGAGCCCAGGAATTTAAGACCAGCCTGGATAACACGGCAAGATCCCATCTCTACAAAAAAATAAAAAAATTAGCCAGGTGTGGTGATGTGCACATGTAGTCCCAGCTGCTCACTCGGGAGGCTAGGCAGGAGAATGGCTTGAACCCACGAGTTTGACGCTGCAGTGAGGTAGGACTGAACCATTGCACTCCAGCCTGAGCAATAGAGGGAGAGACCCTGTCTCAAAAACCAAAACAAAAAAAAAGATTCTTTTAATTTTTTTGTGCTTGTAGTGCGGATAGCTTGACTAAGAAAGAAAACAGATAAGTCCACTCTGTCTTTATTAGGAAGTAACTGTAGTAACTGTGAATTTTTTTTTTTTTTTTTCTTCAGCGCCCCCTAGTGACTCCGTGTGTGAAGAGTATGGTCTGAGCTGTTCGGATGCTCTGCATAATCTTTTTTAGTAAGTATTGCGGCAAAGAGAACTACAAATGAACATTTTATCCTGAGAGGTTTTTTTTTTTTTTTGTTTAAAGATAGTGATTTTAGGGCTAATAGTTTCATGGATTTTTTTTTTTTCTTTTTTTAGAGACGGAGGTCTCACTCTGTTGCCCAGGCTGGAGTGCATGGCGCTGTCTTGCTCCACTGCAACCTCTGCCTCCTGAGTTTCAAGCAATTCTCCCGCCTCCAGCCTCCTGAGTAGCTGGGACTACAGCGTGCACCACCACGCCCTGGCTAATTTTGTATATTTTCAGTAGAGACGAGGTTTCACCATGTTGACCAGGCTGGGTCTCAAACTCCTGAGACCTCAGATGAATCCGCCCACCTTGGCACCCATAGTGTCTGGATACAGGCGTGGAAGCCACCACGGCCTGGGCTAGGGATTAATAGTCCTTTATGTCATTATAAAACTGTGGAGGCAGTGCTATTGCCTAAGAAGGATGCATTTATACAAGGGACCTCAGTTACGCTTAATATCAAAACCATGTTCCCTAGTAACTGGATTACATTTCAGGTGGTTTTTGTTGAGTTAGTCCTTCTTTAAGGCTCTGATTAAGTTAGACTAATTTTATTTCGTAGTCTCATTTTAAATGATATTTAATTTTTTGCATCTGAATGAAAGCAGTTCAAGTGTCAATTATTTTAGTGTAAGAAAATAGACCACTTCCTGGCCCAGGCACCGGTGCTCACGCCTGTAATCCGCAGCCACTTTGGGAGGCTGAAGTGGGCCGGATCATTAAGGCCAGGAGATCGAGAACTTTTCCTGGCACTAACACCGGTGAAACCCCGTCTCTACTAAAAATACCAAAAAATTAGCCTGGAGTGTTCGTGGCGGGGCCTGTAGTCCCACTACCTTCGGGGAGCTGAGGCAGGGGAGAATGGCATTATGAACCCGAGAGCAGAGCTTGCTGTGAGGCCAAGGAATCTTGCCAGCTGCACTCACAGCCTGAGCGCACATGAGGGGGACTCAGGTCTCAAAAAAAAAAAAAGGAAGAAAATAGACACTTCCATAAATGGGATTGGTCCTGTAAAGATCTCTCTGTCTCTCTCACCTCCTGCCTCTCTCTCTTCTCTCTCTCTCTCCTATAATATATATAAAATATAATTTAGTAAAATATATATAAAATATGACATCATATGTAATATATTACGGATATTACTGTATCCATATATAGTAACAACATTACTATATATTTCATATAATATATCATTATATATTGTATATTGTATATATATATATGTTGGTTTTTTTTTTT